CCTTCGCGCGTTCCCGAATCTCCACGACGCGACACGGCGCGTTCGCACACGTGGTCGCTTAATTCCGCGCCCGATAGCTTCCGCTCTCTCGCCGCGCGCGTCCTCGCGGATTTCGCGCGGTAGACGGCGATACGGCGCAGAGATGCGAAACGCGAGAAAATAGAACGACGGATTATTACCGCGCGGCGCGTCGGGCTCGTCAATTTCAAGCGTGGATTTCGAGCTGCAACGCCAGACGAGCGCAGCTTTTTACCGCGCGTTGCCGACGCTCGCGGTCGCGTCGCGAGAGACGAAGATCGCAATCCGCGTTTCGCCTTTCGCGACTGGTATACGCGAAACGGCATGCCGGGACGAGCACGCACGGCGGAGCGACCTACTAAAGATCGGCGCGCAGACACGCGACATCTTCGCTCTTTTTAGCTTCGATGATTATATCGCTTCGGCCTGTCGCGAGGAAACGTACCGCGAAAATTTATGTGTTTAATTATTCGATCGTGCACGGACACGGCGATAGCATGTAAAGTACGAGGAGGAAAAAGTGTGTTGGAGATGCGCGCTGAATAGTAATTTTTCGATACGATTCGGTCACCTAGTTGTATATCTAGGCACTTTCGCAAAATTTGCGGCGTAGAAATTCAAATTCAAGTCGAACCGAATCTCACTCGGCTCGCATTCGATTCGTATTCGAGTATGAACTGTCTCTTTACACGGAGAGAGAATTTTCTCTTAAAATCTATCCTGAAAATCGTGTGACCGTGGGACAACATGGTATTCTGAAGAACTGTATGAGAGTTTTGAAATGTCGCTATACATTCTGCTAATAAAATGTATGGTAAAATTTACCAAACTCTTGTAAAATTTTTCGAAACAATTCGGTCACTTAGACTGCGGTCAAGCTGTCGCTTCAAATATTTCGAAGTATTCTTTTCCTCCTCTCTTTCAGTAAGGACGAAAGAAGAAGAGAAACGCCTCGAAGTGTTTGTAGCGGCGATGCTTGACCGCAACCCTAGTTGTATCTAGGCGCTTTCGCAAAATTTACGGCGTAGAAATTCAAATTCAAATCGTGCCGCATCTCACCCGGCTCGTATTCGATTCATATTCGAATAGTTCGGACAGTAAGCTATTCAAGTGTTTTAGAGATAAAGATATTAAAATATAAGCTATCTCTACACAGCGAGAGAATTTTCTCTTAAAATCTATCCTGAAAATCACGTGATCGTGGGACAACATGGCATTTTGAAGAACTCTATGAGTTTTTCTGAAATTTTAACATACATTTTATACTAGAAAAATCACAGAGAGAGAATTTTCTTTTAAAATGTACCCCGAAAATCATGTAATCGTGGAACAACATGGCATTTTGACGAACTATATGAGTTTTCAGAAATTTTATCATACATTTTATACTAGGAAAATCGCGGAGAAAATTTTCTCTTAAAATCTATCCTGAAATCATGTGTTCGTGGGGCAACATGGTATTTTGAAGAACCGTATGAGAGATTTTTGAAATTTTACTATACATTCTGCTAATAAAATGTACGGCAAGTAAAAGAATTTTATGAGTTTTTCAAAATGCCATTATCCCACGATTACATGATTTTGAGGATAAATTTTAAGAGAAATTTTTCTCTCCGAGTATAATTTCATATAATTGAGACTAACTTGAAGATAGTCACGTTTGGCAGCTTTGTTCAATTTCAGACGCTAACGAAATTCCGTTTTCCGCTATACGTACTGTAATTATCTTTATCTGCGAAACAGTATTCGGTGGTGCAACTATTTTATGGCACGATGATAAATATAAATGGCATGTGGTGGATGTAGGTAGAGCTTTTACGTGTGCAGGAGATACGCGAATAAAAATGTCAGAACACGTGTTTATTATTTCGAAGTTAAGACACAACGCTCCCATAAGTCAGAGGTTGAGAGCAAGTGCTACGTGCGTCACGCACTCTTAACTGCATCCTGTCCACACACAGACGCACACGTACCCACGCGCACACATGCATCAATATAATTCTATTACTTTCAAACAATGTCCTCCGATAGGAGATCAGAATCCGAGCCGTAACTCCGCGAAGGTATATAACTTAGGGCGCGCACAATGCACCGGCGCTTTTTATCGACCGGGGCTAGCGAAAACACGCGTGATCCTTAAACGAGAAAAGAATGCATTCTTACCGCGTGCCGGCGCGACGGTGCGCCTAGTTAAGCCCGCCGGTAGACACTCCGGTAGGCTTAACCGGGCACAGCTGAGGCATACCGTAAGATCAGGCGTCCCGCGCTCAACCTTGATACGACAGTAAATAACTCGCATGTGCGTAACGCGCTCCTTGAAATCGGAGTCCCGGCGCGGCGCGGCGCGGCGATTCGCGCGAGAGCGCGCAGGCATTCGCGTGGGCGATTAGATCCGCGACACGCTTTACGGGATAAAAGGGAAAAAAGAAGGATAAGAAAAAGATCGGTACAATAGCCCTTTGTGTGTCTGTCCGCTCGCGGGACGGTTTGGCGATGGCGACGCGCGCGCGCGCGCACGCGCGTTGCGTACGTGTTGTGAAACGAATTCCAGGACAGGCGTTTTCCGGATCTGCGCGATCTGCCGATTGCGCAAGGGCGTCAGCCTCCGTGAAAACGGTCGTCCTTCGGAGGCGCCCGCTCGACCTGTTCGATCTCAACGCCCTTCGCCCTGCGCGCCTATTAATCTTCATGATCCTCGCGCGTCGACGAGAAACGTGCCGTGACTCGCGGCTAAATCTGTCGTCGATGGAAGTTATTATTGCTATATAAAGACGAGTGTTACATTGGTATCTTTACCGGGAAATTGTTTCGTAACGCGATACCTCGCACGCTTCTCTGGGAAAGACAATGATTTACTTACATCGTCGCCACATATATATCGCAATGGCTATTTTGTTTTTTTATTTGTCTTTAACCCTTTCACACGGTTCTGTCTTCTTCTAAATGTACCACGAGGGAAAAAATTGAACTTGCAGCAACTGGAATTCATATTCGAGATAAAAACTTTGCCTATATAATTGGTAATATCAGAAGTATCGTTTTAATTAGTGTACTGTGTGTAAAACGAAAGCCCTACGTTTCCATTGCTTATTATACGTGCAGTGGTGGGCAGAAGGGCTGCGACATTTGTTTTTTTAATGAGTTTAGGAACGCGCATTTAGATTCAGGGTTACGTCCCAAAAATCTTCTTCTCCGAGGAATGTTTTACACGACTGCCATTCCGAAACCATTTTGAGCGCTTCCGATCTATTTCTCGAGTAAAATTTTCCCCATAGAAAATGTTTCGAAATGTAAACCTGAATCTAAACGCGCATTTCTAAGGTCATTTCCAAAAATTGTTGCGATCATTCTGTACGTCACATGAATATATACGCATTAAGGTGGCTCCTGCACTGAGAAAAATGATTAAATATCCGATTAAATATAATCGGATAATCCAATTACGTAATAACAAACGGATATATATCCAATTAAATTGTATATCCGATGAAAAATATGATCGGTTTTGCATGCTAGGTTATATATGCACATTTAAAAACATATTAAAAAATATATGATATTGTCAAGTCTCAAAGAGCTGTCAAATTTCCTTCAAACATTGTATCTTTTGACTTTACTAATAAGTTTTACTTGCAAAGGTCGGTAACCTCATATACTTAATAGCACATTTGAATCCACGCGACATTTATTATGTTCATATCGTTTTTTGTTACGATCTACTTTTTCTATAAAATAATATTAACCCACAAAGTGTTTCTGCGAGCGATCGGCCCAAAACTCCTATCCCAGTGAACACCAAGTAATAGTTACATAATATCAATATTATAATTTCCTACTTAACAATGTGAATGTAATGTAACACATGGGTGTTATATTACATTTATCTTGTTGAGTAGGAAATTATAATATTAATGTTATGCAACTGTTACTTGGTGTTTACTGGAATGTTAAAAGATACAACTTTAACATTTTTTTCTTTACTTTATTTCATCGGCGACCGGGTCTGAAATTTCGCGTACTGCTAGATAAAATTTACAACTACAACATACTTAAATTTCAATTTTTTCTACTTTTGGTCGGTTTATGCAGGAGCCACCTTAAGAAATTCCTATAAATCAAATTTTTTAAACTGCACAGAGTCTACAGCTCCAGGAAGAAGTATATATCTAATTGTAAAAATGAAGCAAATTGTCATAGAGAAACTGGTAT